ACAATAAGTTCTATATTTGACGCTCAGGTTACGAACTATTACCTGAAACATTTGAGTTCATGCTTCAAGATTTGCGAGGAAAGAACGAACAAGGATACAATTACATCATCCTCATCAACAAAGAAATATGGACAAATGCATATGATGGTGGATATCATATGGACACATGACAACCAACTTGGTTGAGACTATCAATTTGACCTTAAAGGGGGCACGCCATTTACCAGTAATGACTTTGCTTAAATCGACATATTTTCGTTTGGGAGCGCTTTTTGCCAAGCTCGGGGGACAAGCTCAAACTTGGATGCAAAACGATCATGTCTATCACCTAATATTAGTTCCAGATCTACAAAAAAAATTGATGCATCAAATAGAATATGTGTAACAATCTTCTCTAGAACCCATGAATTACTTCATATCACAGAGATGCTGCGATCACTTCAAGGGATTCAAGCTAACTCGTTCAGAGTTAATCTACGAGACATATGGTGTGACTGTGGGTTTTTCAAGCTCTGAAGTATCCATGCTCCCATTTCTTAGTAGCTTGCTCTCATACCCGTCAAGACTATAACCATTTTGTGGATCCCGTATACCGACTTTCAAAAGTATTTAAGGTATATGAATTTGGGTTCCCTCCATAGATAATGAGAAAGACACTGATAAGGTTCAGAATTGGCTTCTGATTGTACCATATTCGTCCTTGTTAAGGGAGATTGGTCGCCTAAAATCCACTCGAATTTATTGTGATATGAATATTTAGGCGACGTCCAGAGAAAACAAAATATGTGGGCATTGTAGAAACTTAGGACACAATAGGAAAAATGTTCATTTCTTTTGTCATCAAGTAACTATTGATGTTGTGATGTTGTGATTGTTGTTTATGAAATCTAAGTTTGTGTTATATAATTTTCATTTACTTTCAATTAATGTCATTTGAGCATCACAACGTAATGGGCTACTTAAGTGAAAATTAAATAAAAACATTACAAACTAAATACAAAAACCGATACTATTCAAACAATAAAAACAACCAAATAAAAACATTAAATGCAAACGATATAATTTGAACAATTAAATAATAAAAAATAAACAACAAAATAAATAAAAAGTCCATAATTAAATAAAAACTTTACAATTACTGGTAAACAAACAAAATTAAATAAAAACTTTACAAACTAAACAACTATATCGATGCATGCGTCTTGAATGTGTTCCGCAGGGCGGTAGCTGTCCGTGTTGATGAAGATTTCTTCGTATAACTTATTTTTCCTCCTCACTCTCATCATCATCATCTTTATTATTAGCAACTACATTTTATCGATGAGGGACGGATGTCGATGAATAACTTTCATAGAATAAGGATCCTGGAGGTGTATGGGTGATTATCTCACCACTAATAGAAAATTGTGAAAACACCGACATCAATGAGTACGTTGGAGGTGTCTGTGTATGGGGTGAACCTTCACCCGTCAAATAAACAACATATGAATCCCACGCTGGATCTAAAAACATGAAAGTATAATATATGCCATGAGGGGTCATAAAACCTACGACGGTGGCATCTGAACCAGCTGCGATGGCATATGACCCGACTGCAGTGGCATCTGATATGGAAGCAGTGGCGTCTGACCCAACTGCAGTGACATCTAAAATGGTTGCGGTGTCATCTGATATGACTGCGATGACATCTGAAACGACTGTAGAATGTACACCGGTGTAGACGATGGATGTTGTGATAGTTCTGGCGCTGCAACTGAGGACGAGTCAAAAGCTCCTACTCTCTGTCCACGAGTCGGGGGACGATGATTCTGTGACAGTGGACATCTTTGTCGGCACCGATGAATACTCCCGCCTCGTGCTTCCTCGGAAAGTAGGAACGTTTTTTCATTCGTGTAGAACCACTCATAATAATCATCCATAACCGAATAATGATCCACATAAATGGGTTTCGTACGGAGAATACGTCCACGTCGATCCTCCCATATCATTACCCACTCGATGTGCTTCAGCAGCCAGTCTACTTCTTTTTTGCCCCATCTATCGATAATATGCATATCCTCGAGATTCTTAGGTGTTTCCTGAATAGATTGTACGAAACCAAATTGGCGGAGCATACTATCAGTAGGATGTCATTCGACAACAACATAATATATTAGAGGGACCACCGCCATTTAGGCATCTAATGGGCATTTCAAGTGATGTGAGATGCAAATCCTCATTTCTTCAGTAGAATAAGGAGTCCATTGAAACTAAAACAAATATATATAATTTTTATCAAAATAATATTCTAACTATATAACGATTATTAAAAGTAAATAATGAAATTTAAATACATACATTTGTACCAGCCTTCTGATCAATGAGTAGTCAAATTTCTTCCAATTCATATTGTAAATCCCGATGATCTTTTCTAGCACTTGACCACCTATTAAATGAAAGAAATTTCATTATATACTCAACAAAATTATTTACATACGAATTCAGTATTGAAATTACCTCAACAATAACAAGAAGACCAACGGGTTTTTCATGACAGTACATAAAAAGGGCATGCGATACCACGCCTAAGACTAGAGAAGAATGAGATATCCGCCGATAGCATTTTTTCGATAATCAGTTGCTCAACACATTTTCCTATACATAAATACCAAAACTACGGATCCCCAACAAAGTGCGCCGACAGCGTAAAAATCTGCGAGGTGATGCAACCATAAAGTCAGTATTCAACAAGAAAACCAAAATGGTAAAGACATAATGTTAAGTTGTCCGATGCTCAGTGTTCTTCTCACTTCAAACAAGAAAGCGGTTTGGGGGGGGGGGGAGGAGAGAAATTTTGTCATGTTTGCCCAAATTGCTAAAAGCAGATCCAGCCGTATCAATCAATTAATGAGGTGCTGGTTTTTGTACATACAACACAATCATATTCGTGTAGTAAATGAGCAATGCCGCCAAATTAACCTTCAAGTTTTGTCCTAAACCTCGTAGTGTTTTGGGTCAAATTTTTTCTTCTTTCAAGTAATCATATTTAAATGGTTAAAATTTCATATGGATTTTAATTTGTTAATGCTTCTTGTTATTTTCGAGCTAATATCTAATGAATTCATTTTATATAATTATATTTAGAGTTAATTGTATGGGTACACTATGCTATAGTCCCTTTTATTATCGGTTTGATTGACTTTGGTCACACACAAAAAGTTTAATGGGGAATGATATTTTACATTATCGGTTCGTCTGGTTAAAGTCTCTATGCTATTAATTTTGTTTAACCCTTTTTTATTTTAAGTCTCTTTTATTGAAGTCACTAACATGACTGACTAAAATCGGATGAAACAATAACGTTAAGGACTTAATTCGGACATACTGATGACGTTAGTGACCATTTCTCCTTTTTTTTTTGTTACCAAATTCGATCAGACCGAAAACATAAGAGACTATTAGCATAATTTACCCTAATTATATAAAATATCAACTTATGACATCAATCAGTTCTGCCAACTGATTGAGACATGTGTCGTCAACAATACCTAGTCAAAAAAATAAATAAATAAAAGAATATGATTAGAATGATATTAATAGTTTAAGAATTAAAACTAAATTAGTTTAAAATTTAAAAATTAAATTCGAATAAGGATTACAGTTTGAAGATTTTATGCACAATTAAAGCTTATATCAAATAATTGAATTCAGTTTTAAGTTTTTTTTATGATGATCGATTCACTATTGATGAATAAAATTTATAAATTGTATAGAATATAAATTTATATTTTGTATGTTTATATTAAAAAATTTAATGTGGCAGGCTAAAAGCCCCATTCTATTTTCAGGATTTAACAAGGCCCGTTCAAGCCCACCCTTATTGCTCCTTATTCTAAGCAACCACCATCCCTTTACGATCTCCATAACCTGTCAGTGTTTTATTTATTTATTTATTTATTTACAATCAAACGTACTTAGATTGCAATGTTTTATAAAATACAGAAACTGAGTTTGCTTTCGAGTTGCAATAAATTGTAAAGGAAATATTTCCATTTCTAAAAGTTAATGTAACATGATTCGTATACTGATAGTTTTTACTCTCAAACAATAATTACTTTTCAATTTATAGCAAAAAACAAGCAACATAAATTGATACTCATAATATCTTAAAATTATAATGGATTGCGTTTCAATTGGATTGATAACGTTATTATAATATGTCAATTTGAACGTGTTTTTGTATATAAGAAAAATGATATAAATAATTTAAACATTGTACATATTCTAAAATGGTGATGTAGGTAGGCCCAGGATTCACCCGGTAAAAGGCATTGGCATCGAACCAAAAGTGAGAAAGAAACTCACAAGCTTAACAGGACCCTTATTAAAAATATCTTTAACAGCTCCTAGAGCGTCACAGAACATAGTTTAAGAGAGACACTCGGATATTCTTTCTTTTAATCATATTTAGGCTACCATAAGACAACAGGATCCCTTGGACAAAGCTAACATTGGTTGTTTTTAGACCAACTTCCAAAAGTTTAAGAGATTGTTGTTTTAGGCTGACGATCCCATTCGATGTTGGAGTATAGATAAAGTAGTCTGTGATCTTATACCATTCTGAAATTTACAATTTATAATTTAGGGTTAAAAATATCTTAACCATATCTGCACGGCTTTAAAATTAGAAATAACATCCACCGCACCGCTTGATTTTGTTGGTTAGGCCTGTAAACGAACCGAACGCACACGAACGGATGTATGTTCATGTTCGTTCATTTAATAAATAAACGAACAAAATGTTTTTTGTTCATGTTCGTTTATTAAGGAATATAACTTGTTCATGTTCGTTCATTTAATAAATAAACGAACACAAACATAAACGACCACGAACATAAATGAACACGAACATAAACGAACATAAACATTGGAGACCCTACCTAGGGGTGTAAACGAGCTGAGTCGAGCTCGAGTATTGTTGAGCTCGACTCGAACTCGAAAACTTTTAAAGTCAGATTGACTCGACTCGAAAACTCGCGAGCTTAAAATTATCAAGCTCGACTCGAACTCGAAATATAACATTGAAACTCGAACTCGAACTCGAAAAGGCTCGAACTCAAAAAAAAAATTAAGAGCTCGATTATTGGATTCTTGAGTTCAAAGTAAGCTGACTTGAGTTGCTGGATGATCACTATTTACTTGTAAATTCGAATACTCTATTATATATATGAAAGAAAATAAGATTATTTGAGTAGAAGAAACGGTGCTTAATACTTAACATCCCTTCCGGAATCCATCACCTTTGGACTTAGTTTCGAAAGCAACCGGTTTCTGGGACTCCTCTTTGCTCATCGGATAACCAGCTGGTGGCGCAGTTAAATAGGGTTCCGGCGTAGTGGATGTTGACGGTGCTGGGTATGCAGCTTATTGATCGTTCAAAAAGAACTAAACCATGTTAATATTGTTGGGTTTTCCAAATAAAATTAGGTTAATTATGGAGTTGGTCATCAGAATATCATATTACTTAATATTTTTAAGATACTTACAAATTGGTCACCAAAATTGATTTAAGAAGATTGGCTTAAACATAAATGAATGAACATGAACGAACATAACCGAACAAACATAAACGAACATAACTGAACGAATATAATTGAACGTTCACGAACTAGACCTATGTTAATGTTCGTTCATTTAATTAAACGAACACAAAATCTTGTTCATGTTCGTTCATTTAATAAATAAACGCACATAAACGAACTTCCCGCCGCATGGTTCACGAACGGTTCACTGAACGTTCAGTTCATTTACATGCCTATTGTTGGTAGCTTAATTACATGTATAACACAAATTTTTACCTTTCTAGAAAAAATTATTGTAATTTAATCTTAATTATTTATTTAATAATTTTAAATTAATATAAACTAGATGTCGTGCATATAAATATTTTTTAACAAACTAAATGTTCAAACAAAACTTAAGTTTTAAAGGTCGCGCACATATATATTTTATTATAATTAATCTAAAATTTACATTATTATTATTTTTAATTTTGTAACATAAATTATAAATATTATATTTTATACTATAATCAATATGTTTTTATAAAATGTGCAGTTAATAATATCGTGAATTTATTTTAATAATTTATTCTCAATTATGTAAAAAATATCTCAATTTGGGTGCAGTGATTATGTGTTAGGGAATTGTTTACGGAGGGATTGGAGTTTTTTTTAATTGTTTTGGTAATTATAAAATAATATATGTTAGAATTTTTTAGCCTATTAAGAAAACAACACATATTGTAGACGTAATAGCTAGAATTAAAAATATCTAAGAAGAATACTACTATCTTTTATCATAGGGGTCTCTCGATGAGTTCGATTGGAATTAAATCTTAAGTTTAAAAATATTTCTCTTATTTTTTATCAATAAGGTGATGACATATGTCATCATAATAATGAAAGTATTTACTTGTTAATGAATATATATGAAATAGTTTAGTGACCAATAAGGTAATGATATGTGTCACCACAATAAAAAGAGTATTTTTGTAACCAATAAGGTAGTGGATCCGTTACGGTTTAGTGAGTAAATTGAAAAGGCTTATTTTAAAGGACCAAAATGAAAACATATTAGAAGTCGGATAAATTATAATAGTTTTAAGTCATAAGGATTGAAAATACTGGCCACCAGCTTTTCTGTCCACTTTATAATAAAGCAAAAGCCTAGCAAAGCCAAAGAATAAAAAAGAAGAAAGGCAAGGCAGGAAACGAATGGGAATCACAGCAACCCCACCCTTGGTATAAAATTTTTCTTTCAATGCCATACACTCAAAGTTTCTTCATCATTTTCTGAGAAGGCAAACAAGGGGATGGAGAGAGACTCTTGATAATGATTTTAGCAACCCAAAAGGCCTGCTTGGTTGAGTGCATGAACAAAGGAAACTCAACAAAGTGATAGAGAGAGAGGTAAAAGGAAAAGAAAAAAAGTTGTTCTTTTTTTCTTCTTCTCTCTTTGTTGTGTATCTGTGGGGTTGAGCATTTTTTTTGAAGGATCAAAGAGGCGTATGAAAATTGATGTAGCAAGCTTATCATCAACAACAATTAAGCAAATAAATGATGGCAGCTGGAAACCCTAGCTGGAGGAGCATGAATCCACCACCTCAACAACATTCTTCTAATTTGTTTACTGCTCCAATACCCCCATCTCTCCTCTCTCCTCAGTATGTCCTTGGATCTTCTACTACTCTTCTTCCTAATTCTTTGCCTATTCATCATTTCCAAGAGCTTCCCGTACAGTCATGGAGCCAACGACTCCTGTGAGCTCTCCCCCACTTCGTCTCTACTATTTTTTTCATGCTACTCTTCTACGGTTTCTCTCTCTTTATCCATAAATTTTACTTCTTGGGACCCTTTAACTTTTTAAAATACCCTTCATATATAATCTCAACTTCTGGTTTTCACGATAGTTATTCTTAAGATAGCTTTCTATTGTACATATATAGGTTCAGGTTCAACTGATAAAGTAATAATTGTGGTTTATGGGTTATTCTTTTGGTGATTAGGGGAGGATTATCCGGGGAAGAAGAAAGGTTTGGGACAAGTCATTATCAGCCTAAAAAGTTGGAAATTTGGGAAAGCCAAATCCTAAACCCATCTCCAAGGGTTCCTTTGGTTGTTGACGTAAAGCAAGAGATTACTCAAAATAGCAACCTCTTGGGTCACAGCAATGATGAATTTCAAGCATCTGCGATTGCTTGGTCCCAAGTCATGCCAGTTTCCCCTCCCAGATCTTGCATTACTAACTTAAGTAGTAATAATATATTAGAATTGACTTACCACAAGGGGGCAAATCATGAAACGACGGTTAATCAACCTGGCTTAAATCATTCTTCTGAGGTAAGAAAGAGAAAACAACCCAAACCCAAGAATCTCATACCTTTTTTTCTTTTTGGTCTTGCATTTATTTGGCTGATAAACTTGCATTTTCGTGTGTGTGTGTTTTGGCAATAGTGTAATAGCACGGCCGCAGGTCGGGTATGCAAGAAGGCTAGGGTTCAGCCATCTTCCAGTTCAAGCCAACCACTTCAAAAGGTAAGCAGTACACATATAGAATCTTTCTTTGTTGCTCTCTCACTTTCTCTTTATGTCGTTCTTGATTGTCTACTTCCAAATGTGTATTATTCTTTTTCAGCTATTACTAGGTACCCCCATGTTATCGAAACAAAAGGCTAAAGCAAACTAAGTTACATTTATGAGTCTTTGTTTAGATTCTGTTCTGCATTATTGTTACATATATTTCTGCTAAATCCTTCCAGGTGAGAAAGGAGAAGCTGGGAGATAGAATAACATCACTTCACCAGTTAGTTTCCCCATTTGGAAAGGTAAGCAACAAGTATTCCTTTAAACCTTCATCAATAAAGCCACAACAACTTAACTAAATACGGAGCAGTTAGTACAGGTTACCAGAAAAAGCAGTTGTATTTTATGATAAAACCCATAAAGGAATTGCTTTACTTTCTTAATTTGTTTTAGGGCTTCTCTTTTTGACATTTAAGAAGGGTTTGAAAGATGATTTGGTGGATTGTGTGCTCTTTTTTTGCAGACCGACACTGCTTCTGTGTTGTTAGAAGTTATTGGGTATATCAGATTCCTTCACGATCAAATTGAGGTGATGTTTCTTCCCCATCTTTTTTCTTTTATTAAAAAAAAAAAGCTTCTCTCTGCCCCAGTCCCAAGCAGCTCAGAAATCAGTGAGAGGGAAAGCATGTTGTTTTCAAGTTTCAATAATTCATGCTTTTTCTCTGCAAAATAACATATTTATTCTCTAGTCATGGAAGTCCTAAAACTAATAATAATTCCTTTCTCCCCGACTTTAAACGCAGGCTCTTAGCTCCCCTTACTTGGGGACCGCATCTCAAAACGTGAGAAACCAACAATCTGTGAGTACCCATAAACTATTTCCCCAAAGCATTCAATATATAATTATTTACATATACCCTGCTGACGGGTAAGGTGATACACTAAAAAAAAAGTTCCCATTTTAAAAATGAAAAAGGAGTTGAACATAAAAGTAGTTATAATTAAAAAAGGTATTCATCATCATTGCGATTATCACAGTGTTTTCAATTTTCCTATATGATAATTATATAACAGGATAAGGCGAAGGACTTGAGGAGTAGAGGGCTGTGCTTGGTTCCTGTATCATGCACTACTCATCATACTGAAACCGATAACGATGGTGCTCAGTACTGGCCACCGACTTTCGGAGGCGGCGGATTTTAAATTAGTAGATTTTCAGCATCAAACTTTGGAAGAATTGAATTGTATAACACAATGAGCAGTCGATCTGCTGAAAATTTTAAAAGGCCGATTGCTCACCATGCTATACTACCGCATTCTTTTTCTAGCTTCACTTGCTGAATGTGCAATGCTTATATTTACTGTTCTTGTACCCTATTCTTTTAATAATTCATTTAGGGTACATTGTAATTTTAAAATTACAAATTTATCATCCGCTTCATTTTCGAAAATGTTTTCTAATTTTAGAAAAAAAAATTCATTTTATATTTTTTAGGTTTTCATTTTCTATATTTGTTGGAAACTGAGTAATTAAAAATAAATAATTAGCTTAAACGATGAAAATATAAAAATATATTTGCTTATCTATTTTCTTATAATAGAAACGTGATAAATAAAACAAAAATCCTACGTGTATATGGATTTAAACTACGATTCAAGATTTAATATATAAAATTGTTGAAAACAATAATATTTTTGTGTTTACCATTTACAAGGATTTGACCTTGATTTCATTAAGTTAAAAAAATAATGAATTCTCAAAAAAATTGAAACATACAAAATATTAGTAATGTTTTATTTTCTATTTTTCTCAAGAAGATGAAGAAACAACCTTTATTTTTCTGAAACCAACGCAGCCCTAGCTTCTCGTCTTATTAGATTGCAAACTAAAAATGGCTTTTAAACTACCTTGAGAAGAAATAAGCAATTAAACTAATGGACATTTATGCAAACTTACGTGTATATATATGTTAGGAAAATAAACCGAGTACAAGTAATTTCCCTATAACCAGATTAGTGAGAATGCGAAATAAAAGCGGAAAAATAATACCCGAAAATTGATAACGGAGTTCAGCCAATTGTGCTTACGTCTCCGGGCTGCTGCAGATCTTTTACTAAGAGAGAAAATTTACAGGTGTTTACAACACTCACTACTCACAAGAAAGCTCTCTAGTATAGGAAGAAAGAAATGTTTTGGGATGATTTTGAAGCTAAATGGGTAAGGGTATTTATAGTAGAAACTTAGGGACTAATCTTTGAAAATACCCTAAAGTGCAATGACTAAAGTGAATTTACCCATTCCTATTTTCAACAAACATCTACCAAAATTTTACCAAACTTTGAAAAACATTTTTCAAAGAAACATTTACCAAACTTTGAAAAAAACATTTTCTAAAGTTGGTTGCCAAACTTTGAAACTTTTAACAATCTCCCACTTGAAGACTGATTTTAATATGTCTTCACACCTCGATCAATGCAGCAGCATGTCTGGTCTTGTTATTCTAGCATGCCAACTGAAGTTGAACACAACTTCAGTTTATCCGTAGTCACCGTCTTTGTCAACATGTCTGCCGGATTTGAGCTCCACTAATCTTTTCAAGTTTCAAAATCCCATCTTCCAGAAGAGACCGGATAAAATGATATCTCAATTGTATGTGCTTTGTCCTGGAATGAAAAGACGGATTCTTTGCTAGATGGATAGCACTTTGACTGTCGCAATACAAGATATTGTTTTCTTGTTTCTTGCCTAACTCTTCCAAGAAACTTTGGAGCCAAACCATCTCCTTGCTGGCTTCCGTAACAGCGACATATTCTGCTTCAGTTGTGGAGAGAGCAACTATCTTCTGTAGTTGAGAAACCCAACTCACTGCAGTTCCTCCTAGAGTATAGACATACCCTGTAGTGCTCCTTCTGATGTCGACATTTCCGGCTAAGTCAGCATCTACATAGCCTCTCAGTATCATATCTCCCTTTGAAACAAGTTCTTTGTTTGTGGTACCCGAAGATATCTGAGGATCCATTTGACTGCTTCCCAGTGTACCTTGCCCGGATTATTCATGTACCTGCTAACATCTCCCACTGCATGAGCATATCTGGTCTGGTACAAACCATGGCATACATCAGACTTCCAATTGCTGAGGCATACGGCACCTTCACCATGTGTGCACGTTCTTCCTCCGTCTTGGTGATTGGTCTTTGGAGAGTCTGAAATGAACACCTAAAGGTGTACTTACTGGTTTAACATCTTGCATGTTGAACCTGGAGAGTACTTTGTTGATGTACTCAGCCTTTGATAACATCAAAGTCCCCGACTTTGTGTCTCTCTGATCCTCATCCTAAAATCTGCTTTGCAGCGCCCAGATCCTTCATAGCAAACTGCTTCGACAATTTTGCTTCAAGTGTATAATCTCTTGCATGTCTGAGCCTGCAACGAGCATGTCATCAACGTACAATAATAAAATAATGAAGCTGTTATCGAACCTCTTGATGTAGCAACAATGATCTGCTTGGCATCTGATAAAACCACTGCTACTCATGAAACTATCGAACTTCTTGTACCACGTCTAGGAGCTTGTTTTAAACCATACAAGCTCTTCTTCAACCTGCATACCAGGTTTTTCTTGTCTGCCTCTATGAAGCCTTCTGGCTGCCTCATATAGATTTCTTCCTCCAAATCACCATGAAGGAAAGCTGTCTTTACATCTAACTGCTCAAGATGTAAATTCTCTGCAGCTACAATTTTCAACACCAGTCTGATTGTAGACAATTTTACGACTGGAGAGAAAATTTCATTGTAGTCAATACCTTCTTTTTGCTGAAAGCCTTTGACAACCAATCTTGCTTTGTAGCGTTTGCTCCCATCGTGCTCTTCTTTGATCCTGTAAATCCACTTGTTGTGGAGCGCTTTCTTGCTTGGTGGTAATTCAGCTAATTCCCATGTCTGATTTGACATAAGCGAGTCCATCTCATCTTTCATGGAAAACTCCCACTTGACTGAATCCTCCACTTGCATTGCTTCATCATAGCACTCTGGTTCACCATTGTCAGTCAGCAACAAGTAGTGTAAAGAAGGAGAATACCGTTGGGTTGGTTTAGGAATTCTGGAGGAGCGTCTCAGTTCTGGTGTGCCTGGTTCTTCTTGAACTGCTTCAGGATTGATCTGAACATCATTTCCAGAAATCTCCTCGAACTCAGCAAATTCCTTTGTTTCAGCTTTGGTATTACTTGATTCTGCGGTTGACCTATCTTTGTACATCACATTTTCATTGAAAATGACGTCTCTGCTTCTGATGATCTTTCGATTTTCGTAGTCCCAAAACCGGTAACCGAACTCATCGCCACCGTAACCAACAAAGACGCATTTGTTGGACTTGGCATCAAGTTTACTTCTTTCAGCAGAGTTTATGTGTACATAAGAAATACAACCAAACACTCTTAAGTGTGAAAGGTTTATTTCTTTCTTGCTCCAAGCTTCCTCTGGTATTCCGCCATCCAAAGGAACTGAGGGCCCACGGTTGATCAGGTAAGCTGCAGTGTTGATAGCTTCAGCCCATAGAAATTTGGGCAATCCGGCATGTATCCTCATGCTTCTGGCACGTTCATTCATAGTTCTGTTCATGCGCTCTGCTACGCCATTCTGCTGTGGTGTTATGGGAACTGTTGTCTCCATCTTGATCCCATTGTTTGCGCAGAAATCTCTGAAACTACTGTCTCTGTACTCTCCTCCATTGTCAGACCTCAACCGCTTGACTTTCAAACCAGTCTCATTTTCCACCATGGCCTTCCATTTTCTGAAGGTATCAAAGACTTCTGATTTCTTCTTCAGAAAATAAACCCACACCTTCCTTGTTGAATCATCGATGAAGGTGACATAATATAGTGAGCCTGCAAGAGATGGAACAGGGGATGGTCCCCATACATCAGTATGAACCAATTCTAACCTTTCTGCCTTGGGAGTCTTGCCAATCTTTGTAAAACTGACTTTCTTTTGTTTTCCAAAGATGCAATCCTCGCATAGTCCGACATCTACATTCTTTAGATCCGGCAGCTTCCCTTTTGACAGAAGTATCTTCATTCCTTTCTCGCTCATATGGCCGAGCCTTTGGTGCCATAGGTTTGATTTTCCATCAGCATCTGCTACTGCAATGATATTCTCTAAATTTGAGGTTACATAGAGAGTACCGGTCTTCTTACCATGAGCAATGACGAGTGCTCCTTTGGTAATCTTCCATTCACAGCCTGAAAAAGTTGTACTATATCCTTCTCCATCAAGCTGCTCAACAGAAATCAGATTTCTTTTGAGGCCAGGAATATGTCTCACTCCTGTCAGCTTTCAGGTGGTCTGGTTTGGCAGCTTTAGTCGGATGTCTCCTTTTCCGACGATCTTCAAGGTTTCATCATCAGCTAGATGAACCTTCCCAAAATCACCACTGACATAGTTCTCCATGATTTCTCGGCATGGGGTGGAGTGGAAAGATGCCCCTGAATCCAAGATCCATGATTCAATCGGACTGTTGACGCTTAAAATCATGGCATCACCTGTCTCCTCCGTCATGTTGGCAGATTCCTGTGCGCCGGTATTTTTCTTCGGTGCTCGGCAATCTCTTTTGAAGTGACCCTTTTTGCCGCAATTATAACAGGTAAAATATTTATTTCCTGTTCTTGATTTGCCCCTTCTAGATTTTGATCTGCCACGATTTGAATTTCTTTCTGAAGTTCTCCCTCTAGACTCCGTGTGTAAGGCTGAGGAGGTTGATGCTTCACCCGATTCTCTTCGTCGAATTTCTTCACTCAATACCAGATCCCGAACATCGTCGAATTTTAATTTGCTGTTTCCCGACGAACTGCTGACTGCTGTAACAGTAGCATTCCAACTCTCTGGTAGAGATGATAAGAGAATTAAAGCTCGAACTTCATCATCGAACTCAATTTCCACTGAACTCAACTGGGTGATTGTGTTGAGTTCATTTAGGTGTTGTGCCACCGATGCCCCTTCCGCCATCCGCAAATTGAATAATCGCCTCATCAAATGAACTTTGTTTGAGGCCGATGGCTTCTCGTACATACTGGAGAGAGCCGCCATAAGACCCGCCGTGGTCTTTTCCTTTGCTATGTTAAAAGCAACATTGCGGGATAACGTCAGTCGGATAACTCCGAGGGCTTGTCTGTCGAGAAGAGCCCAATCTTCATCCTTCATGCCCTCTGGTTGCTTTCCTGAGAGAGGTTGATATAGATTTTTCTGGTACAAAAAATCTTCAATCTGCATCTTCCAAAAGCCAAAGTCCGCACCATCGAACTTTT